GTGGAAATCCTAGAAGTCTAGATTCCTGGAGCACTAGAGCCATTAAGCAGGAATAGGGACATCACTCACATTCAAGGGTGAACACCTAGAATCTGAAATGTAAAGGAGGGCCTTTAATTTGGTCTGCCTGATCTCAGAACTTTAAGCTTTCATCATCTAAACTAAAGCAGTGGTGCCTTGGTGTGATCCAGCAGCCAGTGGCCACACTCCTTCTGAATTTCCCTTCTTGTGTTCACCTTTTCATCAGAGGAACATATCCAAAAGAGTAATGTTATCCCTTCCCCTTCTTCAAATACTTACGAAGGCTCTTGTCTAAGACAGGACAAAGTCCAAAGAACTCATGGTCAGTTTTACTATCTTAAAACAATTCCAACTTCCCTTCTAGGACTCATTCTACTTTGTCATTCTCAGAATGTTTACTATTTTCTACAATTCAAATTTTCTTTCTTCTGTTATCTACTTATTATTGTTATTAATTTTCTCTTAGTCTTTACTTGTCACAGAAACTGTCCTTCTATTGCTCATTTGGTATTTAAAGTTTTATTACTTCTCATCTTGAAATTCAGATACTCATTTCCTGGTACCCTTTTCAAACATTAAGTTTGTGAGGAGTTCTGGGGTGGGAAATGGTGCAATTTTGGGTTGTCTAAGGTGTGTGTGCCAACGGAACTATGACGGCCAACATTACTCAGAGGCAAGTCAAATATTTTCCAGAGTTAACACTTGATACTTCTGGAACAACCCATAATTCAATCCAACTATTTTTCCACTCGGCTTGCTCAAGGACAGATTTTCCATTCTGGCTTCTTTATTACCATCTAGCTGATTTAACCAAAGAATGGTAAAGCAAAATTCATGATCTCCAGACTTGCTAAACAATGCATTGTTTATTTTCTTCCTAAACTCTGATCTACAACCCTCTAATAAGGACGGTAGAGCCCCATGCATATGGCCAACTTAGTTAAGAATCTATAGTACAGACCTGAACTAGAAGCAGGCCACAGGAGAGTAACTTGTGCTTCTGCTTGCCCCCCCTCCATAGAGAGTTACTCACTCTGGCCCAATTCACTCCTCTCATACTCTCCCTCCCCACAAAGCAGAGTCTGTGTCGTCATCATGTGAATGAGTACATGCTTGTTTCAGGACTCCCCACACATTTAAACCTCCTCGCAGGAATTAAGCTATTCTAAACAGGCACTGTGTACCCCCCTTTGACAGACAAGCTATTGACCATGTACCCCAAGAAATGAGAAATTTCCCTGAAACCTCATTATGGGAGAGGAAAAGGCAAAGGTATCCTAGCTCCAACCAGAAGAGGAATTAGTCTCCAGTTCTGAAAATGTGCTAGACTGCCATATAGGAAAGACAGGAATCTGATGATTATGGGTAGGCTCTGATTGTGTAGGGCCCAGATTGAACACCTCTGGCCCTCTATTTAAGCCTAAACCTCATGTTAGGACCTGGAAGGTGAACTTGGGGTAGGAATTGGCCTATGAAGATCAGATGCAAACCTAGACTGTTACAGCCTTCAGGGCCTGGGTTCTTACCTACTGATGACTCCAGTAACAAGAGGAGCCTTGGGCTGTCAGGATCTTTGTCCTACTGGATAGATAGTCTTTTGCATACAAGCATCACACTAGACTCAATTTTGACTGTTTGCAGGATCTGTAGTTTGGATCAATGTGAAGTGAAGAAAAAACATTATAGTCACCCCAAGGAACTCCAGAGTAAGCAGCAGAGGATGCAGAGTAAATCTGTAATACTTTTATGTGGGTTGAGAAAGAAAAGGCAGTGAGTCTCCACTGATTCAAAGGAGATGGGGAGACACTGAGAACAATCAGCCAGCATCTTTGTTTCCTGACTGATTACAACTTGGACACAGCTAAAAATGTGGTAAAAAAAAAAAAAAAAGAGATAATTGCCGTCATTTTACACACACCCATATTCTTTTTCATCCTCTCACCATTTTTATCTAGGATTTCATGCTGCTTGATAGAATGAACATCCTCTTTCCTTGAACTTCATCCAAAGACTCAAATGTGCAATACAGTTTCTTTCTAAAATATTGTTCACATCGTGGAGCTCCCCTGCAAAAAGATATTAACTAGTTCCTCATTGTCGTCGAGTTTAGTGTCCAAATCGCTTAGCACCAATACCGACATATGGCCCTTCTCTTCTCCAATTGCATGCTTCCTGCCTCCCTTTCACATGGAAGAAGCTGCAAAGAAAGTAAGTGTGATCCGGGTGCATTATGTGAAATTGCCAAAAAATCAATAAAAATATTATGTTGAAAAAAAAAGAAAGAAAGAAGAAAAAAACAAGAGCAAAAAGAAGGAAGACAGTGAGGATGGGGAACGATCACCTCCTTTACATCATATATAAAAATATGACTGGATACGGTGGGGCATGCCTTTAATAACAGCACTCAGAAGATCTATGTGAGTCCAGGGCCAACCTGGTCCATGTAGTAAGACTCTATCTCAAAACAAACAAACAAAAAAGTCTTTTGGCTTTCAGATGTATGTCGTCCTGTCTACATCTCAAGGATCAGAAGGGCATGCTGTATTGAGACTTTCCTCACTCAGTTGCAAGAATACTGGTTTATTGAATTAGCTCATTTTAGCTTTTCTTGCTATTCAGTGAAGTCATTCTTGACTGAGATTAAGTTTTTATGCATTTCACTAGCAAATGCTTTTTTCCATATCTCAGAGTTCCTAGGAAAAGCATTTGTCTGCAAAGGCTGCTTGGCTGGTTGAAACTTCATTGACAGGGAGAGGTTGGAATGTTGAGGATCTAGAGCCTGAGTACAATTTATATTGGGCTAGACATTTAGCCCCCAAATTGTCACTCCTTGTCTCCCCGACCCCATGTTAATCTAACATCTCATTAGTAACACATAAAGTCAGATCTAACATCTTGCCATGCTGATAAATTTTTTTAAATGTATTAATTTAACAAACCATAGTTCTACTAATTAAAGGGCTAAGAACGTTCTTTTCCAGGCACACATTTCCAACTGATCAGCATGCTGTGATGTGGCAATCCTGTCCACAATGCAACACTCAAATCCCTGCATTTCTCTGCATTCCCACCTTTGTCATTGTGGAGGGCAGTTTTAATTCCAGACAGGTCTGATGAGTGGGACAGTGACTATATGGTGGAGGGAGACCCACTCTGAATGGGGGCAGCACCTTCCGGTGGGCTGGTGACCTTGATGAAAACAAATCAAGAAGGGAAGCAGAGTGAACAAGCCCCTTCCTTTTCTGATGTCTCTCCATGAGGCTGCCATCACGTGCTGATGTTAAACTCCATCTCCTTAAGCTTTTAAACATGGGTTGTTATGTCCAGGCCTTCAGGCAATTCTCAACATAATCACCAAAGACCTGAAGAAAACTGCAAATCATCAATTTCTCTAAAGATGTAAAATAACATAGTGTAAGCCAGACATGGGAATGCAGGTCTATAATCCCAGATGTTTGAGAGGTTGAGACCAGAGGATCTCACGTTCAAGACCTGCCTGATCCGAAGAGTAAATTCAGGGTTATCCTGATCAACTTTATGAGATCATTTCTCAAAATAAAATTTTAAAAAAATATGAGAGATGAGAATCAAAGTCTTCGTGGTACACATTCTTCTTCCCTGGCAGTCTCTTTGCTATTGCTGGCATGGCATTTCTTAAGTAACACTTCTTGCTAATGCAAAACATCGTTTGTAGTAGTGTTCCTAGGGAGGAGAAATCACACTGATTTCAATGGGAATGAACAGGAAATGTTACAGGAACAGGGCTTATAGATGTTAGGGGCTGTGTGATAGAAAGTTATTTGACAGTTTTCATTCCCTTCTGAAGCAAGCCAAGAACCTACCTAGAATTAGTACATGGGTACATGGAAAGATGTGATGGAACATGAAATGACAGTGATATTTGAATATGTATCAAAAGAAATGCAGAAGTTACCATAAAAAAATCGGCATTAATGCTAGATGGCCCAGCAGAGAGTAAAGACTGTGATGAGTGGACATGTGAGATCTTTTTCCAGCATTGTTCAGAGGCATGGGCATTAGGAAGAAATCATGTAATTTTATTGAATCAAGACTTAAGGTTTTAAAAATTGGTATGAAGCCATTCAAAATTGAAAACAATACGAAATTGACTGAAGTGATTGACATATGTCTTAGGTTGAGCCGAGAAATAAGTTGCAAGATTTTTAATGTCTGTCAGCCTCTTAACTTGTTCAAATCTGCATAATATTGAATGATGAAAAGCCAAGGACATTAAGTGGGGCACAGTGATATATACTTCTGTAATCCCGGGACTTAATCATGGCTCTTAAGAGGCAGAGTTAGGCAGGAAGTTGGCCTGCATAGGAACTGGGAGACTACCCTAGTCCGTACAGCAAAGTACCGTCTCAAAAGAAAAGATGAAAAAGGAAGGGGAAGAAAGTGAAGAATATCTTGTGGAATGCACAGTGACTGAATGGCTTACTTGGTGATGGTGGTGGTAAAATAAGGCCACCTTAGGTGCTTCTAACAAGTGAGGAATGTCAGCCGGGCGGTGGTGGCGCACGCCTTTAATCCCAGCACTCGGGAAGCAGAGGCAGGCGGATCTTTGTGAGTTCGAGGCTAGCCTGGTCTACCGAGCAAGTTCCAGGAAAGGTGCAAAGCTATGCAGAGAAACCCTGTCTTGAAAAACCAAAAAAAAAAAAAAAAAAAAAAGTGACGAATGTCAACAGCTCCTGAGGCACTCACTCTACTCTGCTCAGTGATGCAGGAGTTCTGATCACTAGGATCACTAGCAGGTCACACTCACGAACGATGCTTTTCCCTCTGGGCTTCGGTGAACATTGCCAGAATGGATTTAATGAGGCGCAGCGCTAATCAGTGCTTCCCTAGGTCTGAACTTCTCCCCAGGGAACCCCAGCTAGTCACCTACAAAACAAGCCGTTTTCTCAAATACCCCTCTGCAGAGCATGTTCAGAAGAATCACTTAGATTTTCTGGCTGTTTATCTCAATCAAGACATTTTTATTGATAAAATAAAGTCACTTTAGGTATGACTTTACAGTAACACAGCAGACAGGAAGAAGGGACAAAGCAGAACATAATTCTCAGTGGAGTCACTGCAGGGCACTGAAGAGTGGGTGACAACAGGAAAAATAATAAGAAGTAACACACACACTTTACAAATCACGCCTTGGGTGTTTGTGTTCTTTTTTGTGCACAATCATGTGTAATTTACAGATGAGAAAATCCTTCCAAGATTTCAGTAACTTTTCTCAGTAGCTTTCCCAGGGTACATCTCACTTCTTTGATTGCAATGATAATATTTTAGAAGGTAGTATGTGACCAGGATAGCTTGACACTACTCACTCAGCAGGTTCCAGGCTTAAGGTAGCGTTTAGTACTTTGAGAATTGGAGAGGTGTAGAGCTCAATGAAAGGGATGCATTATCAGCCATAGCTCCACTAGGTGGCAGTAAGGACCACCTCTAGAGCCCAGTGTGAGTCTAAATTTCACAGGGTGAAGACTTTACATGCTGAAAACAGGAAGGAAAGAAGCAAAGCAATGCTTTCCTTCAGAGTCTAAAAAGAGCATGTGTACACGCCTGTGTGTGTGTGTGTGTGTGTGTGTGTGTGTGTGTGTGTGTGTGTGTGTGTGTGTGTGTGTACCAGTGTTTTCAGGACAAGGCTCTAAAGAGTTTCTAGAACCATTACTGTTCTCTATGCCATGTTTCACACTTTGTGTAGGGCCAAAGTGATAGAAAGGTTTTGACATGTGGCACACACTATATTATAGTCTCTCCACTCTTACCAGCACCCCCAGCCCTGTAATCTACAAGTCCAGGTTGGTATTATATGATGTGTAAGTGGCCATCATTGTTCAGCATAATGGTGGTTGCTCCCTAGAAGAACAGATGCATGTGTTTGGTGCACTAACATCAATGGTTATGCTTGCATTGTGTTTCCCTTCAAGGTTACCACAGTCAAGCAGAGAGAAGAGCAATTTGCGGTATCATCTGGGTTAAAGGAACTTTATATGCACGCCATAGTTGAAGGAATTCAAGACACCTTAATGCTCCCCTGCTTTGGTAGTAATCAATATAGCTAAAGGTGAGTTGCAAATTTTGACCATTGGATAAGAAGTTAGAATTCCAATTGTGTATTAGAAAAAATATATTGTTGTAAATGAAGAGTGAGAACCTATCTTGCTGACACACCAATGTCCAGGTGGTATCCTGAACTTTCTGGGTGGTACAAAAGAAAACATTCTACATATCTGGGGATCTTTCCCAACTCTAAGGATGTCTTGGATACTTGGAATACCATCAACATTCCCATCATTGTGGTGGGAGTTCTGTCTGAGAAGAGTCCTTCCCTGGGGGAGGCAGCTGCTTTTCTTCTGGTACTGAGGGTAAGTCAGGTGCTTTCTGCCCACACCTTGCCACTGTGAAACGGCTCATGCCAAGAGCTTCCTCATAGCCTGGAAGTGTGTCCAGAGAGGAGTGCAGCTGGCCCAGGTTGCTGTGTGCGTGGGTCACGGCCAGTATTCTCCGAGCTGCAGGGCCAAACACAGACTGAAGGGCTGTGAGGGAAGAAGACAGTTGGTGTAGAGATGATGACGTACAAAGGTAATATCCTCAGACACTACAGAGCTACATCACACCTAACTTTTCTTTGTCTTTAACCCACTTCTAAACACATTGTCACAACTTTTGGCAAAGTTTAAAAAGTCCTTCAAAGATTATTTAACTAACTTTACACCCTGCCAGAAGAACCCGCTTTCCCTGCTGTCTGAATAATCTGAGTTGTATTTGCATAGTTCATTCCTCCTTCCAGGTTATTCCTATTTTGCTGTGCTAGACATCAAGCCCATGTCCTCACACAAGCTAGGCAAGCACTATTCTCTTGAGTTCCACCCCAGCTCCACCTTCAGATTTAGATCCCTTTGTCCTAGCCTCCGAATATTCGAATTTTACAACCCAGCCTTTTTTTTTTTTTTTTTTTTAGACAGGGTTTCTTTGTGAAGCCCTGATTGTCCTGGAACTAGTTCTGTAGACCAGGTTGGCCCAGAACTCATGGAAAAACACCTGTTTCTGCCTCCTGAGTGCTGGGATTAAAGGCATGAGCTACTACCACAGGACACAAAGCCCTTTCAAATACTTATTCCTGCCGTATTTGTCACTTATTAGTCACAGATTATGTTGCTCTTATTTATGATATGTGTCTTATCCTCTGTTGTTCTAACTTGACTTTGCTTCTCAATTTAAGGAAGAATAATTTCATAGAAAACAGAGGAAGAGCTGGGCATGTGGAACATGCCTTTAATCTCAACACTCATGAGATAGAGGTAGGTGATTCTCTGAGTTCCAAGCCAACCTGGTCTACACAGGGCATTTCAGGACAGCCAGGACTACATAGAATGACTCTGATTCAAAATATAAAGAAATAAACAAATAAAACAGAATAATGGAGGGAAAATGTTCTGTTATAATCATCAAAGAGGTGTTAGAGCTAAAATTTAACATAGCAAGGCTTGAGGAATACCAAACTGAAAGTGTAAACCGCCAATTTCTTTAAACATACAACAAAAAATATAGTGTAAGCCAGACCAGGTAGTGCAGGCCTGCAATCCCAACCATTTGAGAGACTGAGGCAGGGGGATTATAGGCTTAAGACCCGCCTAGACTACAGTATAAATTCAAGGATATAACGTGGTCAACTCAGCACAACCATTTCTTGAAATAAAAACAATGTAAAGGTCTAGGAGATCTCATCAGTAACATGCTTGTCCAGCCTGTGTCTGATTCTGGGTTCCAGACCCAGCATCACAAAAAGTGTAAGAAAAACAAAGAAAGAGAATGTAGCAAGGCGGAAGAACACACTGATTCCAGCTCTCCTGAGGGGAAGGGAGGGAGGGAGGGAGGGAGGGAGGGAGGGAGAGAGAGAGAGAGAGAGAGAGAGAGAGAGAG